AGAAATAGACCACCTGCTTCCTAGTGATCAAGTTGAAGTTCTCACAGAAGGTGACTGGTATCGAGCCACAGGCCAGAGCTGGGCCACGTGGTCACCCACTCTCTTTTCTCAGCAGAGAATCACCGACCAAACTACTGCCTTCTTTTAGAACCAGAAGGAGGAACTTCTAAGAAACATAGCACTTTGTGTCCTTGCCAAAAAGTCAGCAATGATAAAGTCCAAGAAGAGGGCAAGTCCGTGTCAATGCATCATTACGCGGTCCTTGTTTCCAGGGTGGTCACGTGCCGATGCTTTCTCTGCTTGCTGACCTACCAAGAGTGTTCTGTGAACTGTCGAACCATGTGAAAGAGGCTGAAGACATCCTCGTGCCTTGGCTAGGAAGCTGCAAGCCCCCAGTCAGGATGGGCTTTCTCAGGCTGAGAAGTCCCACAGGGTGGGCTTTATTTAATTTATGATACATCTTAAAATGAGAACGAGATGGGGAATGTATGACCTTATTTCCTGCTATTGATGCAGTCCTTCAAGTGTAATGTGAAGGAGTTTTCCTCTCTCTTCAAGGTTCCACTGGTGGTACATCCTTCAAACTTACCCAGTATGCTCTACTTGAGGTTCCTCCTATGCTCATGAAATAGTAATAATCTCTGAATGAAAAGCGGGCTAAGGATAAGTGAGAAGGGGTCAGCAGGTGGTATGGTGGTTAAGGGTGCTAGACCTCCACGTGGTTGACCACAGTTTGAGTCCCAGACCTGGTGGCTTGCTTTCTCAGTTTCTCTCTTTCTCTCTCTTTCTTTCCTCCTCTGATCAAATTAAAATAAATAAAGTTAAATAAAAATAATTCTTTTTAAAAAAAGTGAAACTAGAGACTCCAAGGAGTCCTCAATTCCAGAATTATTCCCAAAAGGTCTTATGCAAGTGGGGCTGATTACATGGGATCCTTAACTGACTTCAAACAAGGGCTTGGTGATGTGTGGCCTCCCAGAATCCTGGGGACAAGCATGTGGGTGACTCGGGGCCTTGGAGAAGGCATCTACTTACAGACATTTCTCCACCTTGAAGATGAATCAGAAAAGGCACAACTCATAGTTCTTTTCTGAATCCCCACCAGGCTTCTTTTTTTGAAGAAATATTTCCTTAGGAAATTTTATTTCAGTCCATTACTACTTAGAGATCATTTTCTACATTGCAGTCCTTCCATATATGAGCACAACGACAGAAGAACACTGGACAGGTTGAACAGCTCACCTCAGTTTCTAGCTCCACTGTATGGAAAACCCAGGAAAATAGGTTTATTGCAAAAAAAGAGCTAATTTGGATCTAAAGGAGATGACATGTACAAAATGTTTGGCACAGTGCCTGGCAGGGAATACATAGTATTTACTGCTTATTGATGGTAGCTATTGCTATGATGTTGACACTGTTCAAGTATCCAGATGATGTTTAGCATGGTGGGCCCTGACAGGTCAGGTCATCAGTAAAGGAGAGAAGAGAGAACAGAAATGGAAATCAACATGCCAACTTTGACCAGTTCTTGGGTGTTCTTGAGGGCGGACCAACTCCTCCAACCTGTATCTGAGTCTCTCTTTCACCTTTTTAAGCCTCCCTAATCCTATCTCAGGTGGCCAGGATTCCTCGATGATATCTTATACTCCGATCTATCTTACACCCACAGCTCAGTTTATCTGACCAGGTTCTCATTCCTTTGTCATGCCATTCTCTTAAGAATCAGGTAACTAACTAAAGATGGTATTAATCGTTTAATGAAGTCTTCATGGCTATTTCCTAGAAATATATTTGTGGTTAATATCCCACAGTCCACAAGTAGGAATCTCTTGGTCTAATATGGGTCTGAAAGGGAAATGGTTTTAAGCAGAATATTCTTAGGATCTTTGAAATAAAGCTCTCAAGGGCTTACCTTCTTTGCCTATGTATAGACTCAACCCTTAAAGCAAAGTGAGAGTATCCTCAGATATAAAGGAAATCCCAAATCCTTCCCTGGGAAAGGTTGGGATGTGAGGAAGGAGCTCTTATGATTTATGTTTATGAGTTTGCTACTGTTACTGAGATTTTTTATAACATATTCAGACTCAGTTTTCTCCATCTAAACAATGGGTATAGAACATAAGTCCAATCTCTATTTCATAGGCATGTCTTATTCTAAATGAATGAACATATGATAAACCAGCATGCCAGCAAGACTAGAGAATGCAGTGTGTTGACTGAAGATGAGCAAAGGGAGAGTGCAGATTTATAGTTATGACTTGAGCCAAATTTAGTAGTTTTAGAACTGTGTACAATGCTTCTGGTTGCATATTAGAATTACCTAGGAATTAAAACAAATAAACAATTTTTAGGGCCCCTCCCAACGTCTCTGATTAAATGTATATGGAGTGGGAACCGAGCATCAGAAATTTTAGAAAAGCTCTTAAGGTGATTCTATGATGTAGTCAAGACTGAGAATCATTGTTTTAGAACAGCATCGAAAATACACAGCATGTGAGAAAATGCCATCACCTTAGGTGGGTCTTGGTTGTGACCCACCTAATACTTATACTCTGGAAGCACTCAGCCACTGATGTCCAATGGGTCTTCATCATGGTTGGGGTGTGGGGAAAGAGCTCTTTGATAGAAGCCAAGAATCACTAAATTGTGGTTAGAGGAGCCCTCAAAAACCTTCTCCTTTAATCCTCTCCCTCACCGTTGTGTGAGTACTAGCCATGCAGGTCATGTCTCTGGGTCTCAGTTTACCTATCCATTAAATAAACTGGTTGAATTATATGCACTCAGGAGTGTCTTCCATTTCTGTTATTCTATGATTCTAAGGTTTCCAACATTGGAGGAAATAGAAGTTAGTTACACACTCATGTTGATATTTTCTGCTCATTCTTTGAAGTTGCACTGAAAAGTTTTCTGAGCCACAGGCCCTCCAGCTCCAGCCCTCTGCTACTGGCCAAATGCCAGCCTGGGCTCATTGCATGGTAGCTGGAACTCCACCCCAGGCCTCCCCCTTCCCAGCCTTCTGAAGGATAAAGGATTTCGCATGATTCTTATAAAATACAGCCCATTTTAATTGTGGGAGCAGCCTCCAAGTGTTCTCTCTGTGCCCTGGCAAGCACGCGGCCTGACCGCTGCTGATATCTGCAAAGGAAGTGGTGGAATGTGGAAGTTTACAGGACGTTAGTGTACACGCGTCTTCCGGTCCCGAGCTTGCAGAAACCACTCAGCGGTTGCTGTGCACTGTGCTCCTATCCTCCCCCTCTCAGCAACCTTGGCCTGCGGAGTCTCCTATTTCATGCTTTTCTGAGCAGAGCAGAGCTTAAATAAATTAGTCAAAACAACAGGCAGCTAGGTGGTACAGCAGTAAGACAAGGCTCAGGGATATTGAGGCCTCAGGGGATGGTCTCAGGTTCTTGGTCTCAGGTCTCAGGGTACCTCCACGGCATGTGCACATGTGCTGTGTGGCTGTTGAGGCTGGGGGTGGATCATGGCAAGAAATTCTGTAGGTGGTGCCTGTAACTGTCTCTCTCTCAGGGAAGAAATTAATCAATGAACTTTAAAAACAACAACAAAATGTCTGTTGCTTGTATCCTGAGCAACAGCCTCTGTACTCGCAGTGGTCTCTCTCTTCAGGAGTCAGACTCTAACCGTGGGAGAATATAAAATAGTGCTGCTTTTCTTAAAAGTGCTCCGAATCAGTTCTTACCAGTATTCTGAAAGCAGGCTTAAGGTCTAGGAGAGGATGCTCTGTGATTTCGCTCTCATCAAGCTGGCCCTCAGCTGAGGGTCAGGGCTGAGTAGGACTAAGAAACACTAACCCTCATCTCTGTACCTTTCATTCTGTAACTAGCATGTCTTGGCCACAGGGCGGGGGGGTTAGCCAGAGCTCAGGAAACAGAGCAAGGAGGAGAAAAAGAGACTGCAGAGAAATAGCAGTAACAGAAGAGCCACAGGTGCTCCTGTGGAAGGAAGGCTAAACTCGCTGCAGTAATCATAGATTTATGGGAGCAAAGGGAAGAAAGATATCATAAAACTGACACCATAATACCTGCTGCGAAACTGGGACCATGGTCTCCAGGGCCAAAATCACATTGGAGAACATCCACTACCTTTTTTTAATCTCATTATTATTATATTTATATTACTATTATGTTATGTCCTCAAATATATAAAGTGTAATAACCTAGTAATGCACATATATAATTTATTAATCAATAAATATGCCTGTATTTAGGAGTGTATGAGAACATTTTCTGCTGATGGGGTACATAGTCAAAAAAGCTTAGAGACTACCTAACTAGAAAGTGACAAAAACCAGGCCAGTAGATACAGATGGCTTGGAGATTATGACATCTGGATCTCACATGGCCAACTGTGCAGTTCAAATCTCAGACCTGGCGGTTTGAAAATCATGCTAGGCGCATGTGCATGTGTGCCCCAAATCCCAAGAGGATGGTGGAGGAGAAGAGTTGCAGCATGATCATCCCCTCTTGTACACCACTTTCTTACTTTCTCTCTCTCTCCCTCTTTGTCTTTCCAGTGAGCACACATGTCCTATGGCAAACAAAATTAAAAAATTAAGAAAGAAGGTGACAATAGCCATAGAAGACTCAACCAACCTCTTTAAGGGTCTGGGCCCTGACCGCAGTCTTCTGCCAGGCCTTGATGTATAAGGGGACTAATTAGCTGTCTTCTTGGAAAGTTCTTCCTCCAGCTAGCATCTAGTGTCTGGTGTCTCCTTAAAGGGTGAAATCACTTGCATTTTGGTGAAACAAAAAATATTATACTGACTATTACATCTAAAACCCCAATCAGAATCTGCAGAGGTCGCGTCATAGTAGGAAAGCTTTGTTCTCCAGCCCTCCATACACAATTATGATCACTGAAAAGTAACTAGGGGCTGGAATCTACCCCATGTCCTATTCATCAGTCAGGGGTGCCCCTGCCCCATGGAAAGGGTGTCTTTTACTGATTCTCGCAAAGACATCATATGGATTACAACAGTCCTGGGTTTTTCCTTTATTTGAATATAATTTTCTCATTGATTTTGCTTTCATAAATACAGTTTATTATTTGTTTTGTCTCAGTCTGAATAATTTTGAGAAGCCCTAGGTAACGTGCATCATGGTCTGGCTCTGGTTTCTGTAGGTATGGCTTCCCAAAACATGGCACTCCATGAGTGAGCACATGAAAACCAAATAGCATTTTCTGCCCATGTCTCAGAGACATCCTGGGTCCACCTGACTAAATGAGTTGTCCCACACACACACACACACAAAAAAAAAAAAAAACCCAAAGACCTGACACTTGGGCCCAGCCTCAGGATAAGGCTAGCCTGTTGCCTGGGTCCTGAGATATACCAGCCTCAAATGCCTCCATCAGGTTCAGTAATCCAGCTGTGGAAGGTTCCATTTCACTCTGCCTGAGACCATGGTGGAATAATGTAGTCTTTGTGAAAAAGCAACAGGTCGTTACAGATGTCCACGTGTGTCTCTGTTCACCTTCATCTTCTTAAAAACTCCATCAATTTATTTACTGGGAAATGTGGTGTTTGTCCTCCAAATGTCTTTTCCCTCTTAGGGGGTAATTTTGCTTCTTGGTCATCAGGTAGCACCAAGAAAGGGAGCAGAGCTGGCCTCTCTGGCTGTCCCTGTGGTATTCCTTGGGATTCTCAAACATCTGTCTTAGGCTCCTTCATGGACTTTACAAATTCTTTGACTTCTTCTTCCAAGGCCTTGTTCCTCTTCTCAACATCCTCCCGGGAGCGTTCTACGTTGCGGAGGCTGATTTCCAAGGCTGCAAACTTCTTCTTCTCTTTCTCCAGTTCTTCGTTGAGTCTCACCACTTTAGCCCAGACATCATAATTTTCCTTGGCAAGACTACAAGGAAGGAAAGAAAAGAATGAATGAATGACATATTAATTCTGGACTCTCCCTTCACTATTGCTCAAAACCTCCCCTGTTCATTTTCTTTACCAAATCGCAAACTTATACCTCCAATTTACGTTCCGCTCCCATATGAAGATCTCTCAGTAAACCTGAATTCCCAGAGCACTCTGAGTCTCTCATTGTCATGTAACACCATCTTTCAGCATCTCTTCTTTTTCATGCTGTTTTATATTTTGTAATTTCAACCAGATAACTTATTCTGAAAAAGAGGACCACCTCTAATATATTCATATTTCACTGTCATGGCACCTTAAATTAGACTTGCTCAGTAGATAGTGTTGAAGTCCCATTCGCCTCCTCATCCTGTTTCAATGGAGAGCACAGATCACAGCCTCCCTTTACTAAAGTCTTCCAGGGGATTAAGATTGAGGTCCTTTTAGGGAACTACCCTAACTTATCAGAAGCAATGGTCCCAACTGTTACACTCACATTTCTGAATCCCATTCCAGGTGAAAGTGAAATATCTACAGAATTTTGAATTCCTGGGATTTTCATTCTTACTAGCTAAAATCCAAATGACCCAGGCAACAGGCTAGCCTTATCCTGAGGCTGGGCTGAAGTGTCAGCTCTTTCTTTGTGTGTGTGTGTGTGGGGGGGGGCGCGGACAACTCATTTAGTCAGGTGGACCCAGGATGTCTCTGAGACACGGGCAAAAAATGCTATTTGGTTTTCATGTACTCACTCATGGAGTGCCATGTTTTGGGAAGACATACCTCCCTACCAGGCTGCATTAAATATACCATTTTTAAGCCAAAGGAGGGAATTTCAGGAATATTGGGAGACTGCGTGATTGGAGATCTTCATTCTCTGGAGCGCTGCCTCCTTTCTCCCCAAATGTCCTCCCATTTTCATAGAACACTTGAGCTTATCTGTTGCTCATGCCTCGGGTTCTATCTTCGAGAGGGCTAACCCATTCTGGATATAACAGCCCTTCTTCAGAACCTTGACTATTCCTCACTACTTCTTTACAAACAAAAACAGTTTATTTATGTATTTTTTCCATGAGTGACAGAGAGAGAGATAGCATCCCCAACAGGGTCTTAACTGTGATCCATCCCCAGCCTCAGCCCTGGATTATGGGTACACACATGCCCAACATACTCAAGGAGGTCTCTGGATACAAGCTCGGTACTTTCCCATGTGGGTCAGCTTCTCACAGGGTCACATTTTACTGATGCACTTCTGCTCAACCCTGCTCTCTACTCAGACTCTATTCCCAATCCATCTCCTCTTAGAGCTAAATTAGTCTCCTAAGGTGGCACAGAAATCGCTCCCCTGAGGAGATGACCATGCTGCAAATGTAGTTTTCTTCTCCAAGTTCTCCATATCCCCCTGGTCCCAGAGTAAACCCCAGTGGGTCAGCATGCTAGAACTTGACCACAGTTTTCAGTGAAGAGGTAGAATCTGTGTGGGAGCCTGGCTGACCTCAATTCAAATTCTAGCACCACCAACCATTAGTTGTGTCACCATCAGGAAGGTATACTACTTCATGAGCCCGCATTTCTTGGGGATATCACTTATTTCATAGAATCTCTGCCTGGCTTAAATGAACAGCTGTCTCTGAAGCCCACAGCTGAGAAGAGAGTATTAATAGGCTGTTAATTCTCTTCCCTCTGTTGTGGTTGGGAGGTTACCCTGATAGATATCTGCTCTATTCAGGGGCTGCTGCCTCCTTCCCTACTCCCAATCACCCTCATGACAAGTGCTGTGTGAGCTTTCTCAAGGGCTTCTAGGGACACTGCCAATACATTATACAAGTCTTGTAATTCTACAAATGATTGATTTCAGGACACATTGATTCTAGATGGGGAGCCCTCTGTAGCCAGTAAAGAAAGAGGACTCACAAAAGGCTTCTTTTAGGATACTTAAGTCTTAACGGGCTAACAAGAATCTATAAATGTGAAAACGCTACTTATTTGCATTTTGATACCTTATGACTAGTGTCATGTGGGCAAAGCTGGATTGAAGTTTTTCCTATCATGACAAAGAACTTAGTGGCCATCAGTAGGGTAGAAAGGATTTCAGGAAAATACTCACATGAGAGAACAGACTGTGCCTAAGCATCCTAGGACTTTGTACACGATGATGGTAACAACTACCTAACTGACCTCCCACTTCTCTGTGCCCCTTGTAGCTCATACTCAGTGGGAAGCCAGCAATATGACCAAGCATAAGTCAGGCTGAAACCATCTGGAAGCTCCCAACCTGATTAGGCTTCACAGTGGCTGATGAAATTCTACTGTCATCTGGACCCCTGTAATTCTCTAACCTCATCGCCTACCTAACCACACCTCCCTCCCACACACACACACCACTCTCCTTGTGCATGAACATGCAGACCTGTCCTTCTCATGGCCTTGGCACATTTCCTTCTCTCTGCCTGGCAGACTCTTCCCAATATAAGAGCCTGACTTGTTCCCTCACCTCCTTCAAGTCTTTACTTAAATGTTGCCCTCTCCCCAAGGCCTTTACTGCTCACTCTATTTAACATTAGAACCCCCATCTGACCTCTCCAACTTCCAGACCCACTTTATTTTTTTCTGTGACATTTCCCAGCATCTGACATAGCATATACTTTAGTTTTATACTCATATTTTCATTGCCTGTCTTTCCCCACTGGAAGGAAAGCTCTGTAAATACAAGAACTCTTATCTCTTGTTCAGTACCATTTCCCACCACTGTAATGGTGCCTGGCACGGAGGAGGCACTGAAGAAATAGTCTCGGAATAGATGAATGACGTTAATAGAAAAAATGTTAAGCTCCTTTTAATTCATTAAAGCATGTTCATTTGTTTTTGTTTTTAGTTTTGGCTATAGGACACATGTGCTCCCTGGAGAGGGACAGAGAGAGAAAGAGAAAGAGGGAAAGTGAGAAATCACAACCCACCCAGGGGGAAGGGGGGATAGCCATGCTATAATCCTCTTTCCTCCATTTTCTTGGGATTTGGGGCATGCATGTACAAGCACCTGGTGTATTTTCCCAAACTGCCAAATCCAGGACTCAGACCACATGTTTTGAATTGGGTGTGTGGGATCCAGCCATCTTAACCATCATGCTACTTGGCTGGCCTAAAGCATGTTCATTCTTGAGGAAGCACTATTGAACATAGATTATTAAGCTACTTAAGCCAGATATTTAATTTTTTATAAATCTGAAGTTTTGAGGTTTTACTAATTTTATCATCTCGTTGTTGTTTACCTTTTCCTTATTAGGACTGGCTGCTACAGGTTACTCTCTTCCCTAAACTATGGTTCTATAATGTGACTTCTTTGGTGGATAAAAACACTAAACATTCTAAAAATGGAAGCAAGTGCTATGCAGTGCTCCTCTGTATGGCACTTACTTTTTAATCTGTTCCTCATACATTTGCTTCTGTGTTTCTATTTCCTTCCGTAGCTCCTGGACCATTTTCTGCAAAGAATCAAGTTCTTCTACTCCAGAGTTCTTTTTTCCAGACCCACTTTCAGAGTCTGGGCTGGCAGGAGCATCTCTTTTTGAGTCACAGGCATGGGAGGAATGCTCACTCGCTTCTCCCCCAGGCGACCCTGGCAGGGCAGGGACATTATCGTAGGTAGAAGTCCGCTGGGGGTCAGAAAGGTGGTGCAGATCTTGAGACATTGTTCTCCTGTGCCCTTCCCCTGCCTTCACCTCTGCAGGTGACCAGAACTCATTTTTAAATATCTCCACTTTGCTGCTGTTGGCACCTTGAAAAGCTGATGTCAAGAAACATTTCCGGTTAGGGAGAGTTTGAGTCCGTTTTCGAGATTGCACCTTCCAATCTCCTAGCTTTTCTCTGAGGGCTTTGCTGGTATCCTCCAGACAACCATCACTCGGCTGTTGTCCAGTGGGGCTAGTTGCATCAGAGTCACTTGTCTGGAAAAAATAGCCATGGATGTTACATGGGTTTTTCCCAACTGTATATCATGCTCCTAAGATAAGGATTAAAGACTTGGAAGATAAGGATTAGAGACTTGAAGAAAATGTTTCCTGATTACACACCTATGAAAGTCTTCATTAGAAGACCATCGCTTAGTTTATTGTTTATTACATTAATTAATTATCTGCATGGAATTTTTTCCCAAAAGAATATTGTACTTAAAGGAGCCCAGGCTCCAGTGATGAGGTGTCAACCAAAGTCAACTGTTTGTGGTACAACAGTCTTAGAGTAGGAGGACCTTTTCATAATTTTAGAATGGAAAATGTTTCTAACTAGGGTTCAAAATCCAGAAGCCATACAATGAAAGTTTGATAAATTCAACCGATGGATTACCATGACCTAAAACATTAAAGACAACAAAAATAAAACAAAGAAACAAATCACCACATGCTAAATTGAAAGACAAATGATGAACTAGCAAAAACATTCGGAATGTATGTCACAGACAACAGGCTCTTCCCAGTAACACACAGAGTCCTAAAAACTGTGAAGAACAAGACCGACAACCAATGTAATTATGAGGCAAAGGACAAGATCAGACAGTTCACAGAAATAAAAATAAATGCAACTGTCCTTACACATAAGAAAAGATGTTCAACCTCTGTCACAATAAGAGAAATTTAAATTCAAATGAACATTACTAAAATACCGATTCCCACCTATCAGATGGGCAAAACCCAAAATTTGACAACACACTGTTTCTGAGACTGTAGGGAAAAAAAGTTCTTTCATGCATTGCTTGTAGAAGTATAAAATGGCACAAACTCTAATCATTTTTATCAAAATTAAACATTCAAATTTATTTGCCTTCTGACTCACCAGTCCCATTTCTGGGAATTTATCTCAGAAATTCATCTGCCTGAGTACAAAAGGGGTATTGTCGAGAGTCACTGCAGCCTTGTTTGTAGTGAAAAAACTGAAATCAACCTGTTCATCTATAGGAGCTGGGTAAGAGGGACCATGGTACCTCTGTAGAATGGAACACTACACACCTGCCAAATATATCATGTAGCTGTCTAGGAACTGATGTTTAAAAGAGTCTCCAGGAAGACTACACACATGCCAAATATATGAAGTAGTTGTCTATGTTTTGACATAAAAAAGTCTCCAGAATATGTCATTTACAAAAACGCAAGATACAGAATAGTGGTATGTGCATGGAGAAACATATTATATAATATACATTACACAATTTGTAAATAACAATTTATAGTCCCTTCTTACGTTTGCATAAAGGGACACCAGAAGGACAAATAAGAAACTAATAAAAGCAGGGAGGTACGGGGTGAGTGAAAACAGTAGAGGGATTATGATTTCTCAATGTACACCTTTTTCTATTTTGTGAATTTTTTCAACTGTTATACACAGTTCACATATTTTAAAATTAAATTATAAAGAGAAGAAAGAAAGGGTAAACCTTATAGCAGTGGTTAGGCACTGTGCAGAGAGAGCAGAACCCCACATGACTGACCATAGTTCCAATTCTGGTCCCAGCAGCAATGCACAGGGCATGTTCATGCATGCCCAGGATCCTGATGGAATGGATAAATGGAAGAAAAAGGGCTGTGGCATGACTAGGCCCTGTTAAGGAGTTCTCTCTCTCTCTCTCTACATCCTCCCACAACTGGGGCACATTCATGTGCCCTCTGGCATTAAAAAAAGGAGGAGAAGGATAACAAGGAGAAGGAGGAGGAAGAAGTAGTCAAGGAGGAGGAGAAGAAGAAAGGAAGGGAAGAAGAAAGAAAAAGAAGGAAAAAACAAAGAGAAACAGAGAAATACACACAGAGAGAGACAGAGAGAGAAAAGAATGAGCCCTAAACATAAAATCAGATAGTTAGGGCTCAAGCCCTCCCTCTAATCTTTCTAGCTAATCACCTGCTTCAGCAGCCTCATTTGGAGGCAAAAGCACCTAAGTCCTAAAGAGAGAACTAGATCAGAATCCTATAGTATGCTAGTGCTGCCACCTTGGGCCCATTGATCAAACTCTTTGAGCCTCAGTCCCTCACTCAGAAAAATGCAGATGAAAAATTCTGCCCTAAGGTTTTAAGGAGAGGACTCTGGAGATGATCTATTTATTTTTCCTAGCCCAGTGCCTGTTCAGAGTAAATACTAAACAGCAGAAACTTGTGAATGAGTATAACCATAGCCATTCTCAAGGACTGCTGGAATTATCTTATTACATACACTATGAACTTATGTAAAATGTAATCTACCTTTAGAGTGCTGGTAAGATGTATTGTGTCCAAACAGACCTCACCTAAGGAAAACCATAACCACTACCTACCTTTTATTTATTTATTTACTTACTTACCTATTTTTATTTTTTCCCATCTTCAAGATTAATTAAATTATAATAGGTAATTTAAGTCATCTGGTCAACCAGAAAATCAGAAACCTTAATTTCTTGGCCACACGTAAAGAGGCAAGCTGCTTTATAAAGTTTACATGTTCTTTTAAAAAAATCTATTCCTATAAATACATAAAAATATTTGACCTTTGTAAGTTATTGTCCTCATATAGTCTACATTTGGAGTCAGCAGATGTTTTGGACATTGGGAACGTGAGCTCCAACCCTTCAGCACAAACAAGGGGGCTGACATTGCTGAGAAGGCTTATCAGGGAATGAGAAATATTACACGAACACAACATATGCTTTGAGAAAGGAATCACGTTCCATGTGTTAGCAGAAAAACAGTTCTCTTGACTCTCAGCTGGAATTTTCAACAACTATCATCAAAATATTTACAATGTGGTACATATTTTTTTCTATTGAATCTCTGTGGATTGTGTTGAAAGAATTTTTATAAAATTATTTTTTCTGATTTGTCAGAGAGTGCATACACTTGCTAGAGAGAGACAGAGAAAAAGAAAGTGAGAAAGAAGAAAGAACCCCTTTCCCCCATGGGGGATGGCCACACTGTAATCTCTTCTCCTCCATTTCTTCCTTTCAGGATTTTGGGCATACATGCACACATGCCTGGTGTGTTTTTTTAAGCTGTCAGGTCTGGGATTCAGAAGGTGCATTTCACCATGAGGGATCCAGCCACTTTAACCACCACACCACAGGCTGGCCCAAAAGAATTTCTCTTTGAAGTAGGATTCAGTGAGAATGGACAATGGCCAGTTATTGGGTGGTTAGCACACTTGTCACTAACTCCACTTCCAGGATGCCAATAGAGACTAGATTTTCAAAGAGGCAAGGCTTTCAAACTATGTTCAAATGGGTCCATATCAACAGTGTCCACTGCCAGACCATCATCAGTAATTCCCCAAATTACCATCCCAGGGTAGCTCCTACATGGAATGACCTGGACTAAAGGAAAAGGTCAATGAAAGTAGAAAGGATCTATGTGTCTTACCATGTTACTGAAGCTGTCTGTCCTAGAAATTGGAGTATCTTCTGTCGCATCCCAGCCCACAGAGCTTCGGGCCACTGGAGCTTTCTTGGGGTCACTTTTCTGGGAAGGGGGTGACAGGGGTGCATCCTTGGACTTGGGGAAGAGGACTTCATGATCTCTTATCATCATGGTCATCACTCTTTGGATCTGAGGAGTTCCTGAAAAAAAGAAGAAACAGATTCATAGTGCTGAGCCTTGGGATAGGAGACAAGTAGTCTTCAAGATGTCTCCAAAATTGACTCTAAAAGCACAGGGCTCCAATAGACCACAATTTGTTCCTTGAAGAACCCTTCTTACTTGTTTGAAGTAGGAGATTATGGTAAAAGTGATGGAATAGAAGGAGATATGTGTAGGATGAAAGAAGGAGTTGTTAAGGTTATCGTCAGTAGATACAGTTTTGATCAGGAAAAGAGGCAATATAACAGGAGGGAAAATGAAGACATACTTTTTTTTTTCTGATGTGGTCCTAAATAAGGCAAATATGGCACCTGGTTTTCTATCACACACGTAGCAAATATGTCTCAGGCATAGTGCCTCCCATGCCCATGGAGCCTGTTAGTACTCAGTGGCAGAACTTCTGCTCACTGAGCCAAGACACAGCCTTAGAAACCTTCTCAACTCAGTTTTTCAAGCAGTCTTTTTATAAGCTGGTTTATAAAATAAAAACTGTTTACTTTATCTGGCTAGTGGTATTTGAAAGTAATAAAAGGACTAAGGTAAATCACAGGTGGCATAGTGGTCAAGGAACTGGACTCCCACACGGTGACTGTGGTTCAAGTCCTGGACCTGGAAGCTTGAAACTCATGCCAGGCAGATGTGCATGTGTGTCCAAGATCCCAAGAGGAGAATGGAGGAGAAGAGACTGTGGCGTACCCATTCCCCTCCGATTTCTCACTTTCTGTCTTTCTGTCTCTGTCTCTCTCACAAGCACACATACCCTACAGTAAAATCTTTTTAAAAAATAAAAAAAAAATGGTTTGGCAGGTGATGTGGTAGCTAAAGGCACTGGATTCCCATATGGCCAGCCACAGATTGAGTCCCAGACCAGGCAGCTTGCTTTCTCCCTTTCCCTTTATCTCTTTCTCTCTCTCTGTCGCTCTCTGGTGAAATTTAAAAAAAATAACAATAACAAATGGAATTAAATACATAATTAAATAAATAATTCTTTTTCAAAACTTAATAAATAAATACTAAAGAACACTAGCTGACTATTTTCATGGAGGTCTACTACACAGTGTGACCAGTGGGCAAATCCTTGACCACTCTCCTCTGTTGTGATCTGGAAGATAAAGCTAATCCCTCTCCTGCCTACATCACAGGGATATTGTACAAATTAGACCAGATAAGCTATAAATGGTTGGCAAACTACACAGCAGTGCACAAGTGTCAGCGGTAGTGATGTAATTGTTATTATTTCCGCTGGGCCTGCCTTTTCCATGGGACCAGCTATACCTCTCATGATCACAGCAGGGTCTTCAATCTTTGACCTGATAAGATTCACTCCAATCACAGTTGCCAGATTGTCCACGCTCATCTTGTTAACAGCACAGTTCAGCTGGATTTCATGGAGGAACCTGTGGGCAGCCAAGAAATCCCGTAATAGAAACAGGAAGTTGCCAGGAGGAAGCACTTCAAGGTACCAACAGCACTTCTGGGATGAATTCCAATTCTTTCCTCCTAATCTCAGAAATGGGACCAGTCTGATTTGCCCAAAAGAGTTTAGCTTCATCCTGAAAGATTCAAGACCAAGAAAGGGAAACCCAGCTGCTCGGGTATGGTTGGGGCTGGAGATGACATGGGGAATCATGTCAGTAGTAGATGGGTCCTGCTCAGAAAGTTAAGAGGATAAAGGGCCCATCTCTGTTTTCAGTACTCATCCCACTGGTCTCCAGAGAAGAACATTTTATTGGTGAGAGATGGTGGATCCCTGGTGCCTTCTTACTCTCACCTCTTATTAGAGCACCAAGAACATCTAATGCTTAGCAGGTGTCAATAATGGACACTGAACTTTTGCTATCTTTCTACCCATTTGAGGCATGAAGCTCTCAGCTTCACTGTGAGAAAAACCTGAACAGATTGGTAAGGGAATTTCAAAATGTATTCTCTAAAAAACATTTTTAAATGAATAGACTGAGGGAATATAAAATTCCAAATAAAGAGAAGTTATTATATAAATAGCAATATGTCCAAATGAGGGTACTTTATGAAATATTATGGAATCATTTATAATCCTGTTTTACTATACAGGAAAATGCTCATGATATAACAATAAGCCAAGACAAGCAGGATACAACTCTTCATATATACAGTATAATTCCAATTTGGGGTAAAAAATTGTTTCCCCATATCTACGTTGATGTATGAAAAGCTCTACCACAGAAAGACAACATCTGGAAAGAAATACATCCAAAGTGTTCATAGCAATTATTGCTGGATGAAAGGATCATAATTTTTATTTCTTATTTACAGTTTTCTGTATCCTCCCTTCCAAATCAGGCAAGTATCATTTCTATAATCTAAAAACTATAAGACATTATTATTTAAAAATAAAAGATAATATTCAGTTTTATCTGGATGAAGATCCGGGCTCCCAACCTGCCTACATCTGGGCCAAGCCACGGTGATGGCACATAGCCTTAGTCCTCAGAAAGGGTTGAAAAAAAGAAAAAAGGTGGCCCAGAATCCATTTCTCCAGGGCACCAAGTTAAGGGTCAGAATCAGGAAGGTGGGTGATAATTCTAGAAACATGATAAGGCTTCTACCCAGGATTCTGGACAGTGCTGACCTGAGGGAGGGAGCAGGATCACTGTGTGTGCCAACTGGGTTTCCAAATATCTTTAAAATCATCTTGTTGAAACAGGAGGCTACCTCAGGGCGAGGTGAATAGGGTTGGTCTTCCAAAGGTCTGGACCAGAATCTCTGTGTTCACACAGATAGCTCCTCCTCTCTTAATCAGAGGTTTCTTTCCAATGTAGCTGAAAACTCTAGAATTGAATACCAGGAGACTCACCTGCAGATGTAGCTCAGAAGACTGTAGTTATCACGAGGAAGGATAGAAAGCTGCTTCATCAACTCCTGTTGAGCCTGGGAAGAAGAGATTTTTAACACCAGTAAATGAAGTTGCTCCCTTGCCAACAATGAGACCTTTGAACATAACTGGTCATAACTGGTAAGTCTGTGCAGAAACGACACTTTGCCAGTCACTCTTATTCCTATAGTTTTGTGGGGCTTTACTTTTTTTTTTTTTTACTAGAAAATATAAATCCTCAAAAAGTTGAAAAAAAAATAGTACAGAGAGAGTCATAGTTTTTCATACAGTGTACTTTTTAATTTGTCTGCATTTACACCATCCCATTCCAACCCTGACCCTGAGCTACTCTAAGGCAAGAACCATTTGACTTTATTTATTTATTTAGCTTAATAAATGCTTGAGTAACAATCCAAGATTCATACCATAATCAAATATCTCAGAATCACTGTAAAGGTAGTGAGAAAAAGGAGAATACTTCTGGGGAGGGTTTCAAGCAATATGGCCTTGCTGAGACCTGCCGGGACACAAGGATGGGCTAACCAAGCTGGAGGGGAGGTGCAAGGTTGTACTGCTCAAGCTCTGCAATGCCATGAATGTCAGATATGGTCATTCAGAGAAAGAAAGGATGGGAACGTTTCTTTGTTCTTTTTTGCCACAGCTGCCTGTAGGATCTGAATCACCATGTGTAGTATCATGCTTGTCAGAAGATACCAGGTCACACAGGCATGAAGGCACTCCTCAAATTCTGAGTATCCCCCGTGACCTGAGCACCTCTCATCACCTGAGCAGCCCTCATCAGAAACCTGAGCAGCTCTTCTGTAGAAAACTGCCTGTAGGCAGCACACTGAGCAGACTTTCCGATACAGATGACCTGATGCATGCTGAGATCCCTCCTCTTTAGTCAAGTCAAGTGAATTCTTTGCCAAGGTTGCTAAGACTGACTTCTCTCAACTACCACCTCTGCCATGTTTTCAACACTGAGAAAGTGTTTCAACGATGTCTCTCTGTCCTCTCCAGATATGTCTTGTCATAAGTGTAGACATTCTAAACTATGCTGCGCTTGAGAAAAGTTGGGAGAAGCTGGCCTACAGTGAGGGAGTTTAGGAGTGAGAGTCTTACTGTCAGAACAATTTCTATGTGCTCTTTTACTTTCCCTAGAATGGAGGGGTGAGATGTTGTGTGGATGTGTGAATGAACCAAATTGATGCCATCTCTGTCCCCCTCCGCTCTTCTGCACATTTGAAAGTTATTCAGTACTAGCTCTGGGTGGTAGTTCCATGTTGGAGTTAAATTCTGACCTGAGGCAGTCATTCAGACTGAGATAACTGCTCCAGCCATTGTCCTTAACAGCAAAAATGCTAATACTTTTTGATGTTTAGCCTTGAGACTTCTTCCTAGGGAACTTTCTTCCCTGTCCTTAACCATAGGTGGGCTAGGGAACTTTGACCTTTTAGTTCCCTGGAATATTCAAGCCTTCCTCCCAAGTTTGTCTTTAAATTAATTCAAGGCCATCCTGGGGCAGGGAAAGGGGGGCAGAGGGGAGGTGGTGCTTTCTCACTTTTCCTGTCTCTATCTCTACAACCCCTCATATACTATAGCAAAACAAGACAAACCTTTAAAGGTTCCAACTTGCTGAGAAAGGGATTCCTAGAGGCCTGAGTGGTAACCGGCTGAGCCTGGGAAGGAAGTAGGGAGCAGCAGGCTGGCAAAGTGGGACTTCAGGGAAGTGAAATCTGCAGTTCCCCACGTCTAAATACCAACCTCCACTGAGTCCCAACCACTGTTTTGTAAGCTCCCTCTGATATGCTTTTACCAAGTCTTCTATGGAATTGTCTGCTTCATTTTTTCAGTCTCAGAACATGGTTGGGCAGATACCATCTGAAACATTTCTCTTTTTAGCTGACTTTTAAATCTATTTCCATAAAACATCACTCCTTTTACAAACGTGAGCTGATATATCTGCATAATTAAGACTTTCCATGTCCTTACCTCCTTTTCCCACAAAATTGACAAAACATGTACAGAATATCCTACATCAGATTTGTTAGGCTGGAGGCCTGGGCAGGTTGGATGTGGGGGTTGGATGGCACACCCTAGTCAGCTGATACAGCCCGGAACTAACCTGTCATCAGACCTGTGATGCACTTGGATCTAACCCGGATGTAGTAGGTGCACTCCACTCTGAACACATCACCAGATGTTACGTGGCACACTAGCCTGCTCTCTCCCTAAACTCTTACCATACATGGACTGTTTCTTCCTCTAAGACACTCCTCCTCCCTATACCCTTATAAAAATCACTAAACTCCACCCTAGTGTGTGACTTCTCTGGCCCATCTCCCTCCCTCTCTCTCCCTTTCTGTTGGACAAGAGAACCTCACCCAGGAGTGCTCCCAATAAAGACTCTACATTTCTATTTTATCGCATGGTTGGCTCATTCCTTACATTTGGTGCTGGAATCTGGGACGAGTTTTGTGTCCCACAGTCCTTGTGAAAGCCTCTTCTACCCTGAACCAGGAACCGACATGCCAACTGCCAACTAACCACCTGCCCTGGCCTTCTGAGGGTAAGTCCACCTGCCCGTGGTTTCTGAGACTCAAACCTCTTTTGGGTTCCCTGTCTGAAAATGCAGCTGTGTCAGGGTCCCCTCCAACTCCTAGAGCTCAAGGGGTTTGTGGAGACATTCTGATCCCCTGCTGCCCATCCTCCATTCTGCTCCATGAGTGCAAAAAGAGATTAGGGACACCTCTCCCTTTTTCTGTTCACTTGAGTCCCAGACACAATGGGTAACACCAAGTCTGTCTCCTAGCGAAAGACGTCCCTGGGCTGACTGCTCTGTAACCTCACCAAATTAGAACTTGCTCAGGATCTACACTGTAAGTGGCTGATATTCTATTACACTGTGGCCTGGCCACAATACATTTTGGACAACAAGTCTAAATGGCCTCCTGAGGGAACTTTTGATTACAATATCCTCACTGATTTGGATAACTATTGCAGAAGGGTAGGCAAATGGTTGGAGGTTTCATATGTGCAAGCCTTTTGGGATCTATGCTCCCGCCCCTCCCTCTGCACCTCCTGCACTACCGCCCAAGTCCTTCTCGCAACAAAAAAACACACAGTCTAAGACCAAACCTCTCTTAGAGGCCAATCTCTCTCCTATAGACGAACCACCCGAAACTCTTACCTCCTCTCCTTCCCACCCTACCTTAGGGTTCCCCACCATATTATGGTCCCACTTCAGTGCTGCCAGTCCCACCCTCCCCACCGCTCCCCCTCCTTCACTGACACTGCCTCCTTCTCCTCCATGTCCTTTGCTCCCATCCCCTCCTCTCCTGTCTTCAGTTAGCTCACATACCCACTCACACACTCGCCCTTCTCCTCCCCCTTCCCCCAGTTTTAACCTTCTCTGTCCTCTCCGGGCAGTGGTGGGACTTGTCAGTCCACGTTTCCTTCTCTTTCCAAGATCTATCTCAAATAGAAAGAAGACTGTGTTCTTTCTCTGCTAACCTCATGGCTTTTATCAAAGAGCTTCACTATCTTACTCAAGCTTATAATCCTATTTGGCATGATCTCTATGTAATCCTGTCCTCCACCCTTACTGTGGATGAGAGAGAGAGTCCAGGCTGTAGCCTGAAAATATGCCAACCAAGCCCGCCTGGTCAACTTGACTCTCCCAGTCAGACAAACAGCTGTTCCTATTACTGACCCCCAATGAGACTATCAGGTAGGAGACACTGGCCCAAAAAACTGAGACTACATGACCCAATGTCTCCTGGCGGGAATGTGAGCAGCCTCTAACAAAATTGTCAATTTTGACAAACTCCGGGAAATCACCCAGGAGGCAGATGAAAACTCAGCTGTGTTCCTCAGTCACCTTACAGAGGCCTTAACTCTTTATACATGATTAGATCCTACTTCACCGGCTGGGGCCACAGTTTTGGCATCCCACTTTATTACCCAGTCAGGGCACGATATTAAAAAAAAAAAAAAGAAGAAGAAGAAGAAAACAAATGGGCAGAGGAAGGCCCTCAGACCCCTGTCTGTAATCTGGTGAAAAATAGCATTTAAGGTTTACAATGCCCAGGAAGAAGCAGCTGAGTCTAAAAGCCAAGCCTGCCTTCACCCCGAGGTGGCATTCCAAACCCAGGCCCTGATAGCAGCCCTAAGACCGGCAGCCCCACACGGGCACAGGAATAGGGCTTCCTCATCTAAGTCTGTTCCCCCAGGACCATGCTTCAAGTGTGGGAACATGGACCACTGGGCTCGACAATGCCCTTGCCCCCAACTGCCCACATAGCCATGCCCCAAGTGCAAATAGCCCAGTCACTGGGGAAGTGACTGCTCAATGGCTGACTGATCTCTGGCACCTCCACACTGGGGACAGGTCAACCAGGCAGTACCTTCTTGGGAACTGTTGGTGCTAGCCACCAACTAAAGAGGCCCAGACTCAAAGACCACAGTCACCCTCGCTGAGCCCAGGATAATGATACAAGTAGCAGGTAAGTCCATCTCCTCTCTTATGAATACAAGGGCTACCTACTCTGTCCTGCCTTCCCATTCGGGGCCACTTTTTCCTTCTCAGATCTCAGTCATGGGAATAGATGGCACACCCTCCTGCCCAGCTCGGACAGGCACCCTAGCCTGCCATATAGAGGGATGCCCATTCTCCCACTCCTTCCTAGTTATACCATCATGCCCAGTCCCCCTCCTGGACAGGAACATCCTTCACCAATTGAAAACTACCCTCCAACTTCAGGCTGCAGCCCCTGCCACTCACTTTCTCCTCCCTCTCATCTGCTCATCCATTGACTCTGCTCTCTCTGTCCTCCCTCCTTTCCTCTTTCCTCCACAAAGTTAACCCTGATTTCTGGGACACTTCTGAACTGGTTGTGGCCTCCCACCACACTCCAATTCTTATCTGCCTAAAAGACCATTAATTCTCATCTGCCTTCTCTTCATGCTTACGCCCTGTTTCCTCAGGTTCCTCCAAAGTCAAATCCAAGAAGTTTCCCGAGTGGTTGTCAACCAAATGCTCCTCCATCTGTACACACAGGTTCCCACTGAGCCCCCAGCCCCCAACTTTCCCTCTTCACCTAAACTCAGCATGACCCCAAAGGCTCCGCCTCCTAATACCATAGCAGGAAGTAGCTAATGATCTAATGGCGTCCTATAACACCAAAATGAATAGTCAGGATGTTAGGTCAGAGGTTTGGGCAGCTTAGATGTGGGGGTTGGACAGCATGCCCTAGTCAGCTGGTACAACTTGGAACTAGCCTGTCATCAGACCTGCATTGTACTCGGGTCTAACCCGGATGTAGTATGTGCACTCTACTCTGCACATGCGCTCTACTCTGCACACGGGACTCCACTCTGCAGACGTCACCAGACATCACGTGGCACACTAATCTGCTCTCCCTCAAACCTTTACCATACGTGAACTTTTTCTACCTCTAAGACACTCCCCTTCCCTACATCTTTATAAAAATTGCTAAGTCCCGCCCTAGCACACGACTTCTCTGGCCCATTTCCCAACCTCTTTCTCCCTTTCTGTTGGACCAATGAACCTCACCTAGGAGCACTCCCAATAAAGGCTCTACATTTCTATTTTCTCATGTGGTGGCCTGTTCCTTACAAGATTGTGCCATTAAAATTTTGTGTAACTACAAAGCTATAACATGAAAACATGATATCATTATTATTCTTTTTCTAAATTTAAAATATAAAATCACCTTTTATCTTAGAACATAAGCAAATCATGAAGCTCCCCTCTTTCAGCAGGGATGGACATCCTCATAGCTCTGTTTTCTTAAAGAGCTAGGGCACTACTTCATTTATTAAAAAATAATACACATACATATACACCTTTCTGGGAGCAGACTACATATTCTGATGTAGAACAAAAAATAAACCTTCCCTTAAACCAATACCTTGAAATTAATCATTTTTTAAAAGTCATTCACCTTGGGACCAGCAGATGGTATAATGGCTATGTCACTGGACTCCCATGTAATCGACCGCAGTTTGAGTCCTGGATGCAGTGGCTTAAACTCACACTGAGCACGACTGCATGTGTGTCCAAGATCCCGAGGGGAGAATGAAGAAGTGACTGAGGTGTGGCCAGCCCCCCTGGGGGTAATTTCTCGCTTTCTGTCTCTGTGTCTCTGGTGAGCGCACACACCCTATAGCATAAACCTTTCCAAAGTAAAAATAGTCATTCACCTGTACCATAATTCCTTGGTTCTCAAAACAATCCTGAACATAGCAGGTATTATGAAAATTGTCCATCTTCAAATTGTCCAATGCAGCAGCTACTTGCTACATGTGGTTTAAAATGTATATTAAATTTAAATTAAATTAAATTAAAAATTCAGTTTCTCAGGGACACTAGCCACATTCCAAGGGTCCAATAGCCATGCATGACCAATGTTTACTGTTCAAGAAATTATATCACTGTAGAAAGTTCTATTAGTTCAACTAAATAAACCCAGTCTCATAGAAGATGCATACTTTGGTCAATGGCAAAATCAAAGCAAAATGTAGGTCTTCTTCATAGATTTTTCTGCCAGAGAGATTTCTTAACATAGTAGTGATTAAAATGAACTTACTTAAAGGACTTATAGGGGGAAACTTAGACCCCCATAATAGCAGTTAAACATACATATATTCCTGAGCTATCTAGTTTTGAAAATATTGGTTAAAGACCATGATTTTCTTTTTGTTAGTTGGATTTTATTATTTTCTTTTACTTTCCTATTTGGTTAATTTATTAACATACTATACTATGGGGACCAGCAGAGGACATAATGGTTACATCACTAGACTCCCACATAGTCAATGTGGTTCAAATCCTGGACCGAGTGGCTTAAAACTCATGCACAGTATGGCCAAAATCCCAAGAGGAGAATGGAGGAGAAGGGATTTCAGCATGGTCATCCCCCTTGTGGGAGTGACTTCTCCCTTTCTGTCTCTCTCTGTCTCTTTAGCGAGCACATGTGCCACATAACAACAACAACAACATCTCTTTCAAAAATTGCACTGTAGTGATTGCTGAATATAAGGCTTGTTTGAAAATAATTCACATAGGATCAAAAATCCTGTCAGTAAGCCAGCCTCTTAGTGCTGTACATTGGGAACTGGATCCCATATGAGTAACCATGATTCAAATCCCATCCCTGATAACTTGAAAAACATACCAGGCACATGTACATGCATGTCCTAAATTCTGACCAGATGGAGAAATGGAGAAAAGGGATTGCAGAGTAACCACATCCCACTGGGGGATTCTCTCTCTCTCTTTCTGGCAAGCACACATGCCCTCTGGAAATTTTTAAAATCCTACTTGTGAACTGGTGCACTCTCATAACATGATGTTACAGAAGGTGATTACAGACCCAACTGGGAGCTGTGTCTAGAAGGAACAGAGAAGCTCCCTGTCTTTCCTTGTGCTGGCATGTGCAGTCCCTGAACATCCCTGCCTGACATTCATGGCCATCATGGAGCTTGAACAGCTCTGCTCTCCAGCTTGGTCAGCCTGTCCTTGCCCAGCATGTCCCAGCAAGGCCATATTGTTTGAAACCCTTCCCAGAAGCATTGTCCTTTCTCATTACTTTTAAAGTGATTCTTTGATATTTGATTATGGTCTATTTTGTTATTGGATTGTTATGTCCCATGAAGGCTGTAGTTTGGCAGTCACCAGGATTGGCATCAGCTGCCATTGTTCCTGAGGAAGTTCAAGTTGCACAAGGTATCCCATCTTGGGCCCTCTAACACACTGTTGCCTACAACACCTGTGTTCAGGAAACCAGTCTGACTTTCTTCTAAAGCAGGATAACTGACTCTAATAAGACACAAACCTTTGTCTCATCTGCATTCATGAGCTGCCCGCAAAGCAGGAACCCTTCATACTGGCTCCAGGGAACCACAGGCTCTGGAAGGTCTCGGAGGTAGAGCTTTAACAGGGAGGCCACAGTGTGCACATCTGTGTCTCTGCAAGAAATAAAGCAATGCTCTTTGAAAGGGAAACTCCCCACCTCTCCTCTCCTCCACCTTGGTGATACTCTCAGTAGAAAAGAAGTTCCAAAAAGGCATATTGCAGAGGAGTGAAGACTGATAAAGAAGAATCAGACCACACATTTTTGCTAAGCACCCCCTTCTGGAATAACCACCTCACTTTTTTCTCTGTCCATTACACCCAAATGCCTCAAAGGTGAACGCAAAGCCACTTTTTCATTAAACCTTCTTCAACTACTTGGTATTCATTGTTTTTTTTCTTGCCTTCTTCAAGTCACTTAGCATCATCCGAATAGTTTCTAATTTTTCATGTATTAACTCTATAGCCTTGCCTCAGTATTTAACTTCCCAGAGGGCTTTAAAAAGTTCTGAGGTTCATTTATCTATTCACTCAATAATTCATTTATTTAAAAAGCATCGAGAGCATATATTAGGTACAAAATGCTATATCAAGTACTGGGATTTCAGTAGCAAACTCAAGGGACACACAGGTCCTCCAGCCTCATCAAGCCACAGAGCTGCGGGAACTCAAGTGCTACCAGGTCACTGTGATATTGTGTGGTTTGTCCTGCCAAATGGGAAGGCCAGGAGTTAGGGTTGTATAAAAATGTGAAAAAGGGACACCCAAACCAGAGTTGGGGAGCCACAGGTGACATTCCATATAAAGTAGCACCTCAGAGATCTGAAAAGTGGTGAGGAGTTACAGCACAGATAAGTGGCATGCATGCCTTCCTGGAGGGCGAAAAGAAAAGATTCCACTGCAGAAATTGAGGCAATATTCAGATGATTGCCTGAGTGGCTGGAAGAGACATAGGCTTTGCGGTTCAG